TTGGGTACCCATACACTTGCTTGTCCTGTACATTCGGTACACTTGAAGGACACCACTCAACGATTGTGTACACTTGTTTGTTCTGTTTATTGGGTACCCATACACTTACCTGTCCTGCACATTGGGTACTCACACACCTGCTTATTGTCTTGACTTTACATAGTTTTCCACAAATCAATTCATTTTATTTTTTCGCTACCATCTCTTCATATTCATGATTACTTGAGGCATGGGTGTCTTGTACGCCTTTGTTCTGTGCTGTTGGCCTGGTATAAGGCTTAGTTCCGTGTTTCCTTACACTAGCTGTCGGAAGGATCTACAAAAGCATAAAATAAAACAAAATGCTTTAGTTTTACTAAGATTTACCCTTTTAAATCTTGATTGATCGCAGGCGCAGCTCAGTGCGCGGCCTTCGGAGCTTCTTTCGTCTTCTGTTTCGACTTTTTTCAAATCCGTATAGCTTCAGCTTTGAATACTCTTAAAACAGAGCACTGATGGAGAGAGGAGATAAAGTGCACACTATCGGTTTCCATTGATAGCAGTTGAATTTCTACTGAAGGAACTACCGACGTTAAAYGTAGGTACTTTACTTTGATTGGAAAAAGAGTTCATGCGGTGTTGGGGCCGGTGGTGATTGGATGTCCGTCACGTGACAGTGACTGTACAGTCACTGACAGCGAGTCTTTATTCCCATACCTTTCCAGGGTTTGYATTACTGCATTCTTCGACTTTTTCAGCTGGATATTCTTGACTCTCTTGAACTGTTTCATCAGTACCTGCGGCCTTCCAGCAACATACAGTAGAATCCTCTCCACCAGTTACTATCTGCTCGCCCTGTGTCATGTTAACAAAGGTTCTTACTTAAAAATCATTCGCTAAAATAATTACAGACTGCGAGCGGTCCCACGTTTTCCTCCAAACTCAGTAAAAACGAGTGTTTTGGGATTCCTGTGGAAGCGCGCGGAGATTTAAACACTCGCCCTTACTGATTTTGGAGGAAAAAGTGGGACCGCTTGCAGTCTAAAATAATTCAGCAATAGGTAGTATGGGTGGTCTACGCTGCCAAGGTGCCGTCCTCACCAATTCAAGAGGATCCTCGGGGGTAAAATGGGGACTGGGATTCGCCTTTATTTTGTCTGGAAAAATGGGATTTAATGCACTGGGAGTAGGATTTAGACATTACAAATGAGAAATAACAAGGGAATGGGATTCAATTTGTCCAAGAAGGTTCAAGCCTCTTTGTTTTGACAAAAGCTGTTTCCTTGCAGGGCCATAGCCAATGTGAGGTCAGCGAGGCAGTTGCTTTGGTAAAATGTTTCAAATGCCCCTCGAAACTCATTTCCGAGGGTTTCAATTTCCCGGAACCCCCCTAGAAGCTTCCTCCTTCGCCCCTCGTTTTACTCGGTAAACGATTCAGTCTGGCTCCGGCCCTCTTGTTGTCTTAATAGGAGAGTCATAAATTTCTTACTGAGTGAAAGGGGAGGGGTACGACGATTTTTAAAAGGTTTAGAATTCCCCAGTCCTTTCCCCTAACCCTCTCTCCTGCCGCAAAAGATACCCTAAGGCTACTGTCAACATACCGTGTAGGAAGATTTACTTCAATTTATTTAAGCAATCATTTCCCCATTATTAAGACAGTTTTAAGAACCTGGCATGGCAAGTATCGTCAGTGCATGGGGGGTATCATTAATAGTTTTATATCATGTTGGGATGATTTTCATAGGCTAGGGCATCCCTGTAATAATACTTTAATAGTCATAATGAACTTGAACTTCGCTTCGTTCACGTGTGGTCAACATATGTTGTGGAATTCCTCCCAAAAAGTGATGATGTGAACTTAATATGTATTTTTTGAAAAACCATGGATACGTTATCAGGAGTGTGATTAGATAGAGAATTTTGAATTCATAAAATTTCACTGTTCCTTGATTACAGACTCATTTCAGCACCATAATATTCATGAATACCAACGGTAAAGTAAAGAAATAGAACTTCAAAAATAGAAGACACTTTGGCATTCCACGGACCTTTAGTGGAACACGTGAATGTTTAATATGTCTAAGCAAAAGATAGGCAGCAGAATTCAAATTCTAGGGTATTTTACTGTACCTTTAACTTTGTTCTGCAATTTTGTTTTAGGGTTATGTGACAAGTGGGAAAGGAATGGATGGATGGATGGACGGACGAATGGATGGTTGAATAAATGGATGTACGGATGAATAAATGGATGGACGGATGGATGAATAAATGGACGGACGAATGGATGGTTGAATAAATGG